GTGTGTGCACGTGTGTGTGTGTAAATCTATATGTACCCTAGAAATAGCTGACTGCATCACCCTCTCATCTTAAGTGATTAAATACAGGACAGAGGAGTGTGTGTCTACGCGTGTGTGTAGGCGTGTGTGTGTGTAGGCCTGTGTGTGTGTGTACACGTGTGTGTGTGTACACGTGTGTGTGTGTACACGTGTGTGTGTGTACACGTGTGTGTGTGTGTGTACACGTGTGTGTGTACGCGTGTGTGTGTGTACACGTGTGTGTGTGTAGGCGTGTGTGTGTGTAGGCGTGTGTGTGTGTAGGCGTGTGTGTGTGTACACGTGTGTGTGTGTACACGTGTGTGTGTGTAGGCGTGTGTGTGTGCTGGCCACCCACCCCATCGTGTGCCACAGTGCCGGTAGCCTTCATAGGTGCTCGCTAACAGCACTTGCCCCAAGTCTGTTAGAGGCTACACGGGGGATCTTTGTCTGTGTATAGGGGCTGCTACTCGCTACTAACAGCACTTGCCCCAAGTATGTTAAAGGCTACACGGGGGATCTTTGTCTGTGTATAGGTGCTACTTGCTCCTGCTAATAGCACTTGCCCCAAGTCTGTTAGAGTGCTACACGGGGGATCTTTGTCTGTGTATAGCCGCTGCTACTCGCTACTAACAGCACTTGCCCCTACAGTCTGTTAGAGGTTACACGGGGGATCTTTGTCTTTGTACGTTGATTTTGATGATCTCATTTTACAAGAGTGAGTGAGTGAGATGGTGACCGAGAGATTGAAAGAGTGGGTGAGTTGGTGAGATGGTGGATGAGTGAGTGAGTGGATGAGTGGGTGAGTGAGATAGTGGGCTAGTAAATGAGTGGATGAGCGAATGAGTGTGTGAGTTGGTGAGATGGATGGTGGGTGGGTGAGTGGGTGAGTAACCTTTGGACCACCCTGTATAATAACAACCCCTATGTGTCCTGACTTGTGGGCCACCCTCTATAATAACAACAACAACCCCTATGTGTCCTGACTTTTGGGCCACCCTGTATAATAACAACAACAACAACCCCTATGTGTCCTGACTTTTGGGCCACCCTGTTTAATAACAACAACAACAACCCCTATGTGTCCTGACTTTTGGGCCACCCTGTATAATAATAACAACATCCCCTATGTGTCCTGACTTTTGGGCCACCCTGTATAATAACAACATCAACCCCTATGTGTCCTGACTTTTGGGCCACCCTGTATAATAACAACAACCCCTATGTGTCCTGACTTTTGGGCCACCCTGTATAACAACAACTACAACCCCTATGTGTCCTGACTTTTGGGCCACCCTGTATAATAACAACAACCCCTATGTGTCCTGACTTTTGGGCCACCCTGTATAATAACAACAACAACCCCTATGTGTCCTGACTTTTGGGCCACCCTGTATAATAACAACAACAACCCCTATGTGTCCTGACTTTTGGGCCACCCTGTATAATTACAACAACAACAACAACCCCTATGTGTCCTGACTTTTGGACCACCTTGTATAACAACAACCCCTATGTGTCCTGACTTTTGGGCCACCCTGTATAAGAATAATAATAACAACCCCATACGTGTCCTAACTTTAGAAAGTGACGATTGCATTTTACTTATGGCTCGCTGTACATTCGCTAATAATAGCACTTGCCCCAACAGCCTGCGTGAGGCTACACGGGGGATCTTTGTCCTTGTGTTACGCATCTTAATTGCAATGTTAAAATAGAAGCGATGCGTCACCACCACCACCACCGTCATCGTCATCGCCGCCGCCACGACTGAATCGAGTGGTTAAATAGAGGCAGCAGCATCATCATCATCAGCATCATCATCATCAGCATCATCAGCAGTAGTAGCAGCATCATCATCAGCAGTAGCATCATCATCAGTAGCAGCATCTTCATCATCATCAGTAGCAGCAGCATCATCATCAGCAGTAGCAGCAACAGTAGCATCATCATCAGCAGTATGCAGCATCATCATCAGAAGTAGCATCATCATCAGCAGCAGCATCATCATCAGCAGTAGTAGCTGTAGCAGAAGCAGCAGCATCAGCTTCATCATCAGCAGAAGCAGCATCATCATCAGTAGCAGTAGCAGCATCATCAGCAGCATCATCAGCAGCAGCATCATCAGCAGCAGTAGCAACAGCATCATCAGCAGTAGTAGCTGGATCATCATCAGCAGTAGCAGCATCATCATTAGCAGCAGTAGCAGCATCATCATCATTGGTAGCAGCATCATCATCAGTAGCAGTAGCATCATCATCAGCAGCAGCATCATCATCAGCAGCATCATCATCAGCAGCAGTAGCAGCATCATCGTAATCAGCAGCAGCATTATTCTCCCTCCCCTCCCTCTCTCTATGACCCAGTGTATCATCAGCATCATCAGCAGTATTATCAGCATCATCATCAGCATCATCATCATCAGCAGTATCATCAACATCATCATCAGCAGTATCATCAACATCATCAGCAGCAGTATCATAATCATTATCGCACGGCGCTTTCAGATGCTGCTGCTTCTGCGTCCGTCTGGAACGCTCTCTTCCTTGCCGACATGAGGACGCCGCTGGGAGCTGTGATTCCACTTGTACATCTTCATAATCATTCTCGTCATCATCATCATCTACATTGACAAACTCGTTTCTTTACAACAAGAGATTATAACGAGATTATAATAGCATTCTCACAGGATTCTAGCGAGATTCTAACAGGATAATAACGAGATTATAACAGGATTTTAATAAGATTCTCACAAGATTCTCACAAGATTATAACAGGATTATAGCGGGATTTTAATAAGATTCTCACAAGATTCTCACAAGATTATAACAGGATTATAACGGGATTTTAATAAGATTCTCACAAGATTCTCACAAGATTATAACAGGATTATAACGGGATTTTAATAAGATTCTCACAAGATTCTAACAGGATTATAACGGAATTTTAATAAGATTCTCACAAGATTCTCACACGATTATAACATGATTATAACGGGATTTTAATAAGATTCTCACAAGATTCTCACAAGATTAGAACAGGATTATAACGGGATTTTAATAAGATTCTCACAAGATTATAACAGGATTATAACGGGATTTTAATAAGATTCTCACAAGATTATAACAGGATTATAACGGGATTTTAATAAGATTCTCACAAGATTATAACAGGATTATAACGGGATTTTAATAAGATTCTCACAAGATTCTCACAAGATTAGAACAGGATTATAACCGGATTTTAATAAGATTCTCACAAGATTATAACAGGATTATAACGGGATTTTAATAAGATTCTCAGAAGATTCTCACAAGATTCTAACAGAATTATAACGGGATTTTAATAAGATTCTCACAAGATTTCAATAGGATGATAACTGGATTTTAATAAGATTCTCACAAGATTCTAACAAGATTATGTTAAGATTCTCGCAAGATTCTAACAAGATTCTAACAATGTTCTAGCAAGATTATAACGGGATTTTAATAAGATTATAATAAGATTCTAACAAGATCATAACAAGATTTTAACAAGATTATAATAAGATTCTAACAAAATGATAACAAGATTATAACAAGATTTCAATAAGATCATAATGAGATTTTAACAAGATCATAACAAGAGTTTAACAAGATTTTAACAATATTCTAACAAGATTTAACAAGAGTCTAACAAGATCATAACAAGATTCTAACAAGATCATAACAAGATTTTAACAAGATTATAACAAGATTATAACAAGATTTCAATAAGATCATAATAAGATTTTAACAAAATCATAACAAGATCATAACAAAATTTTAACAAGATTATAGCAAGATTATAACAAGATTTCAATAAGATCATAACAAGATTCTAACAAGATCATAACAAGATTTTAACAAGATTATAACAAGATTTTAACAATATTCTAACAAGACAATTTGAATGGTTGTGTGCAGTTTCTGGTCACCAAGGCATTCCACAGCGCGATCCCTCCCCCCATTCCGTGCCACATTTAATAAATTAATGTCTATTTACGTTAATTGGTGTTTTAAGAGAACACGCTTAATGATCGTCGTCACGTGGACATGAAAAGCAATCCAAGTAATCTAAGTCAACCAGATGCATGCAAGTTACGCTTACTAATTAACATGTCCCATACAAGCTGCTGCTACGGATGATGATCATGATGATGATGATGATCATGATGATGATGGTTATGATGATGATTATGATGATCATGATGATGATCATGATGAAAAACCGGAGGAACCGGAAGACCTGGAGAGAAATAGAAGCAGCGATCACCACGGGGAGAGAGAGAGACACTCAAACTCCAAATATACAGTAGCAGCAGGCGTCAGGGTCGCGATCGAACCCACGACCTCCTGCACACCAGGCGAGGTAGTCAACATCTCCTAGCCACTTTGGCGGGGTAGTTACGAAGGCGTGGCTGACTATGTTAAGTAGGAGAGGGGGGCGTGGCCTGATGGGGTATGCTAATTACGAAGGCGTGGCTGACTATGCTAAGTAAGATGGAGAGTGGCTTAGCGGTGCATGCTAATCAATGGGCGTGACTGGCTATGCTAAGTAGGAGCGGGGGGTGTGGCTCGGCGGTGTATGCTAATTAAGGGGCGTGGCTGGCTATGCTAAGTACGAGCGGGGGGGGAGTGGCTCGGCGGATTATATGCTAATTAAATCTTGACTTAAAGCTTTCGTGACTGCAGGAATTCATATTATTGAGTCTTTCGGTAAAGTAACGTAGATAGTAATCTAGATTGTTATTTTTTGTTAAATAACAAATTGTTATTTTTTTGTTATTTCCTAGAACTTATCTCCGTGACTTTACGAGCGGGAGGAGGAGGAGGGGGCGTGGCTTGGCGGTGTATATGTTAAGCGCGGGCGTGGCTACACGAGAGGGGCGTTGCTACACGAGAGGGGCGTTGCTACACGAGAGGGGCGTGGCTACACGAGCTTGGCGTTGTTACACGAGAGGGGCGTGGCTAATCGAGAGGGGCGTGGCTACACAAGGGGGGGGAGGGGCATGACGTCAGTGGAGATCAAGCGGTTCGCAAAGAGTTAACAGTGGAGCTGGGAGATGAGGTGAGTGGTGGTGGTTGTTGTGGTGGTGAGGCTGTGGTGGTGGTGAGGCTGTGGTGGTGGTGAGGGTTCTTATGGTAGGAACTTGCTGTGTCCGTGTGTGTGTGTGTTTTTACCGTAGTAATTTTTTTGTGTACACGCGCGGAAAACTTTGAAACCGCTAAAGTGTTGAGAGAGAGAGAGCGGGAGGAGGAGGAGGAGGATTACATGGCCGCTTTGCCTCCACGTGGGGTGGGTAGGGGTGGTGTGGGTAGGGGTGTGTAGGGGTGGTGTGTGTAGGGGTGTGTAGGGGTGGTGTGTGTAGGGGTGGTGTGTGTAGGGGTGGTGTGGGTAGGGGTGTGTAGGGGTGGTGTGTGTAGGGGTGGTGTGTGTAGGGGTGGTGTGTGTAGGGGTGGTGTGGGTAGGGGTGAGAGGTGTAGGGGTGGTGTGGGTAGGGGTGGTGTGTGTGTGTGTGTGTAGGGGTGAGTGTGTAGGTGTGTGTGTGTAGGTGTGTGTGTGTAGGTGTGTGTGTGTAGGTGTGTGTAGATGTGTGTGTAGGTGTGTGTGTGTAGGTGTGTGTGTGTAGGGGTGAGTGTGTAGGGGTGAGTGTGTAGGTGTGTGTAGGTGTGTGTGTGTAGGTGTGTGTAGATGTGTGTGTGTGTAGGTGTGTGTGTAGGGGTCAGTGTGTAGGGGTGAGTGTGTAGGTGTGTGTGTGTAGGTGTGTGTAGATGTGTGTGTGTAGGTGTGTGTGTGTAGGGGTGAGTGTGTAGGTGTGTGTGTGTAGGGGTGAGTGTGTAGGTGTGTATGTAGGGGTGTGTGTGTAGGTGTGTGTATGTAGGGGTGTATGTGTAGGTGTGTATGTAGGGGTGTGTGTGTAGGTGTGTGTGTGTGTGTAGGGGTGCGTGTGTGTGTGTGTGTGTAGGGGTGAGTGTGTAGGTGTGTGTAGGGGTGTGTGTGTAGGTGTGTGTAGGTGTGTGTGTGTAGACGTGTGTAGCCTGTAACAGACTGTTCTGGCAAGTGCTGTTAGTGTACACGCACACACGTGTAAACTCACCTACATATGTGTGTGTCACTGAGTGTGTCACTGAGTGTGTGTGTCACCATGTGTGTCATTCTGTGAGTGTGTCACTGTATGTGTCACCGTGTGTGTCACTGAGTGTGTGTGTCAATGTGTCCGTGTGTGTCACTGAGTGTATGTGTCACTGTGTGTGTCATTGTGTGAGTGTGTCAATGTGTGTGTCTGTGTCACTGTGTGTGTCATTGTGTGTGTGTGTCACTGTGTGTGTCATTGTGTGTGTCACTGTGTGTGTCATTGTGTGTGTGTCACTGTGTGTGTCATTGTGTGTGTGTGTCACTGTGTGTGTCATTGTGTGAGTGTGTCATTGTGTGTCTCATTGTGTGTGTGTCATTGTGTGTCATTGTGTGTGTGTGTCACTGTGTGTGTCATTGTGTGTGTGTCACTGTGTGTGACATTGTGTCATTGTGTTTGTGTGTCACTGTGTGTGTAATTGTGTGTGTCACTGTACGTGTCACTGTGTGTGTCACTGTGTGTGTCACTGTACGTGTCACTGTGTGTGTCACTGTGTGTCACTGTGTGTCATTGTCTGTGTGTCACTGTGTGTGTCACTGTGTGTGTCACTGTGTATGTGTCACTGTGTGTGTCACTGTGTGTGTGTCACTGTGTGTGTGTCACTGTGTGTGTGTCACTGTGTGTGTGTCACTGTGTGTGTGTGTGTCACTGTGTGTGTGTGTCACTGTGTGTGTCACTGTGTGTGTGTGTGTCACTGTGTGTGTGTCTCTGTGTGTCATTGTGTCACTGTGTGTGTTTCTCTATGTGTCACTGTGTCACTGTGTGTTTCTCAATGTGTCACTCTGTGTGTCACTGTGTCACTGTGTCTGTGTGTCACTGTGTATGTGTCACTCTGTATGTGTCTCTGTGTGTCACTGTGTCACTGTGTGTGTGTCACTGTGTGTGTGTCACTGTGTGTCACTGTGTGTGTGTCACTGTGTATGTGTCACTGTGTCATTGTGTCTGTGTGTCTGTGTGTGTGTGGGGAGCGGTGGTGCAGCGGTTAGCGCTACGCTGCGCTACGAACCTGACGACCCGGGTTCGATTCCCTCTCACGGCCAACTCCACCGGTGACGATTATCCTGAACCGGTCCAGGGCCTCCCCTAGGTCGACTCAGCCTCAAATGAGTACCTGGTGTGGTGTGCAGTAAGCATCGACACTCGGGGAGAGACAAAGGCGGCCGGGCGTGGTGGTGCTGGCCACCCACCCCCTCGTGGGCCACAGCGCCGGTAGCCTTCATAGGCGCTGCTCGCTAACAGCACTTGCCCCTAGAGCCTGTTAGAGGCTACACGGGGGACCTTTGTCTGTATATAGGTGCTGTTGCTACTCGCTAACAGCACTTGCCCCTACAGCCTGTTAGAGGCTACACGGGGGATCTTTGTCTGTGTATAGGTGCTGCTGCTACTCGCTAACAGCACTTGCCCCTACAGCCTGTGAGAGGCTACACGGGGGACATTTGTCTGTGTATAGGTGCTGCTGCTACTCGCTAACAGCACTTGCCCCAACAGTCTGTTAGAGGCTACACGGGGGATCTTTGTACAGTACAGGACTGTGTGAACATGCCCAGGCATGTTCGTGTGTGGGTGAGTAGCGGGGTGAGTGAGTGGGTGAGTGAGTGGGTGGGTGAGTGAGTGAGTAGCGGGGTGAGTGAGTGTGGTGAGTGGGTGAGTGAGTAGTGGGGTGAGTGGGTGCGTGAGTGAGTAGCGGGGTGAGTGAGTGGGTGAGTGAGTGGGTAAGTGAGTGAGTGGGTGAGTGAGTAGTGGGTGAGTGAGTAGCGGGGTGAGTGAGTAGCGGGGTGAGTGAGTAGCGGGGTGAGTGAGTAGCGGGGTGAGTGAGTAGCGGGGTGAGTGAGTGGGTGAGTGAGTGGGTGGGTGAGTGAGTGAGTAGCGGGGTGAGTGAGTGTGGTGAGTGGGTGAGTGAGTAGTGGGGTGAGTGGGTGCGTGAGTGAGTAGCGGGGTGAGTGAGTGGGTGAGTGAGTGGGTGAGTGAGTGGGTGAGTGAGTGGGTGAGTGAGTGAGTGCGTGAGTGAGTGGGTGAGTGAGTGGGTGAGTGAGTAGTGGGTGAGTGAGTAGCGGGGTGAGTGAGTAGTGGGGTGAGTGAGTAGCGGGGTGAGTGAGTAGCTGAGTGAGTAAGTAGCGGGGTTAGTGATTGGGTGAGTGAGTGGGTGAGCAAGTAGTGGGGTGAGTGAGTGGGTGGGTAGCGGGGTGTGTGAGTGAGTGGGGTGAGTGGGTGAGTGAGTAGCGGGTTGAGTGGGTGGGAGAGTGAGTAGGTGAGTAAGTAGCGGGTTGAGTGGGTGAGTGAGTAGCGGGATGAGTGAGTAGCGGGATGAGTGAGTGGGTGAGTAGCGGGGTGTGTGAGTAAGTGAGTGGGTGAGTGAGTAGCGGGGTGTGTGAGTGGGTGGATGAGTAGCGGGGTGAGTGGGTGAGTGAGTGAGTAGTGGGGTGAGTGGGTGGGTGAGTGAGTGGGTGAGTGAGTATTGGGGTGAGTGAGTGGGTGAGTGAGTGGGTGAGTGAGTAGTGGGGTGAGTAGTGGGGTGAGTAAGTGGGTGAGTGAATAGCGGGGTTAGTGATTGGGTGAGTGAGTGGGTGAGTGGTGGGGTGTGTGAGTGAGTAGGTAGGTGAGTGAGTAGTGAGGTGAGTGAGTAGTGGGTTGAGTGGTTGGGTGAGTGAGTGGGTGAGTGAGTAGTGGGTGAGTAAGTAGCGGGTTGAGTGGGTGAGTGAGTGGGTGAGTGAGTGGGTGAGTGGGTGGGTGAGTGAGTAGCGGGATGAGTGAGTGGGTGAGTAGCGGGGTGTGTGAGTGAGTGGGTGGGTGAGTGAATAGTGGGGTGAGTAAGTAGCGGGTTGAGTGGGTGGGTGAGTGAGTGGGTGAGTGAGTGCGTGAGTGCGTGAGTGAGTAGGTGGGTGAGTAACTAGCGGGGTGTGTGAGTGGGTGGGTGAGTGAGTGAGTAGCGGGGTGAGTGAGTGAGTGAGTAGCGGGGTGAGTGAGTGAGTGGGTGAGTGAGTAGTGGGGTGAGTGGGTGGGTGAGTAAGTAGCGGGGTGAGTGAGTGGGTGAGTGAGTAGTGGGGTGAGTGAGTGGGTGAGTGAGTAGCGGGGTGAGTAGCGGGGTGAGTGAGTGCGTGAGTCGTGGGGTGATGGGGTGAGTGAGTGGGTGAGTTGCGGGGTGAGTGAGTAGCGGGGTGAGTGAGTAGCGGGGTGAGTGAGTGGGTGAGTGAGTGAGTGGGTGAGTGAGTCAGTGGTTGAGTGAGTAGCGGGGTGAGTGAGTAAGTGAGTAGCGGGGTGAGTGAGTGAGTGGGTGAGTGATTGAGTGAGTGGGTGAGTGAGTGAGTGGGTGAGTGAGTGAGTGGGTGAGTGAGTGAGTGGGTGAGTGAGTAGCGGGGTGAGTGAGTGCGTGAGTGGGTGGGTGAGTGAGTAGCGGGTGAGTGGGTGAGTGAGTGGGTGAGTAGTGGGGTGAGTTAGTGGGTGAGTGAGTAGTGGGGTGTGTGAGTGAGTGGGTAAGTGGGTGAGTAGCAAGGTGAGTAGTGGGGTGAGTGGGTGGGTGAGTGAGTAGCGGGGTGAGTGAGTAGCGGGGTGAGTGAGTGAGTGGGTGAGTGAGTAGCGTGGTGAGTTGCATGGTGAGCGCGAGTTGGTAGCAGGAATTCTGTATCTCTGGGCAAGTCAAGGCATGACCGGGCGATTGCGTGTGTGTGTCTGTCTGTGTCTCTCGGACACAGAGACAGACAGAGACACACAGACAGAGACACACAGACAGAGACACACAGACAGAGACACACAGACATAGACACACAGACATAGACACACAGACACACAGACACGGAGATACACATACACACACAGAGACACACATACACAGAGACAGACACACACAGACACACGCATACAGAAACACACAGACACACACAGACACACGCACACAGACATACACAGACACGGAGACACACAGGGATACACAGACACACACAGACACACACACAGACACAGAGACACACAGACACACAGACACAGAGACACACAGATACAGAGACACACAGACACACACACAGCCACGGAGACACACAGACACACACAGACACAGAGACACACAGACAGAGACATACAGAGACAGTGACACACAGACACACACACAGACACACGCACACAGACACACACAGAGACACAGACATACACAAAGATAGACAAAGGTCCCCCGTGTAACCTCTAACAGGCTGTAGGGGCAAGTGCTGTTAGCGAGTAGCAGCAGCACCTATACACAGACAAAGATCCCCCGTGTAGCCTCTAACAGGCTGTAGGGGCAAGTGCTGTTAGTAGCGAGTAGCAGCAGCACCTATACACAGACAAAGATCCCCTGTGTAGCCTCTAACAGACTGTAGGGGCAAGTGCTGTTAGTAGCGAGTAGCAGCAGCACCTATACACAGACAAAGATCCCCCGTGTAGCCTCTAACAGGCTGTAGGGGCAAGTGCTGTTAGTAGTAGCGAGTAGCAGCAGCACCTATACACAGACAAACGTCCCCCGTGTAGCCTCTAACAGGCTGTAGGGGCAAGTGCTGTTAGTAGTAGCGAGTAGCAGCAGCACCTATACACAGACAAAGATCCCCCGTGTAGCCTCTAACAGGCTGTAGGGGCAAGTGCTGTTAGCGAGCAGCAGCAGCACCTATACACAGACAAAGATCCCCCGTGTAGCCTCTAACAGGCTGTAGGGGCAAGTGCTGTTAGTAGCGAGTAGCAGCAGCACCTATACACAGACAAAGATCCCCCGTGTAGCCTCTAACAGGCTGTAGGGGCAAGTGCTGTTAGTAGCGAGTAGCAGCAGCACCTATACACAGACAAAGATCCCCCGTGTAGCCTCTAACAGGCTGTAGGGGCAAGTGCTGTTAGCGAGTAGCAGCAGCACCTTTACACAGACAAAGATCCCCCGTGTAGCCTCTAACAGGCTGTAGGGGCAAGTGCTGTTAGTAGCGAGTAGCAGCAGCACCTATACACAGACAAAGATTCCCGGTGTAGCCTCTAACAGGCTGTAGGGGCAAGTGCTGTTAGTAGCGAGTAGCAGCAGCACCTATACACAGACAAAGCTCCCCCGTGTAGCCTCAACAGACTGTAGGGGCAAGTGCTGTTAGCGAGTAGCTACCGGCGCTGTGGCACACGAGGGGGGTGGGTGGCCAGCAACCACCACGCCCGGCCGCCTTTGTCTCTCCCCCACAGCGGCGATGTTCGCTACAACACACCGCTTACACCGGGTGCTCATTTGAGGCTGAGTCGACCTAGGGGTGGCCCAAGATAATCGTCACCGGTGGTGTTGGTGGCGGCTGTGGTGAGTGGGAATGGAAACTCTGCTCTCTGCGGGGGTTCGCAGCTCGTCGCTGCTAACCGCTGCGCCACCGCTCCCCCGAACGGCAAAGTGAGGGTATCGGGGAGACAAAGGCGGCCGGGCGTGGTGGGGCTGGCCAGCCACCCCCTCGTGTGTGCAATAGTGCCGGTAGCCTGCGTAGCTGCTGCTGCTGCTACTAACACTGCACTTGCCACAGCAGTCTGTTAGAGGCTACACGGGGGTGGGGGGGATTTTTGTATTTGTGTGCCTCTGTGTGTGTCTCTGTGTGTGTGTGTCTGTGTCTCTGTGTGTGTGTGTCTTTGTCTCTGTGTGTCTCTGTGTCTCTGTGTGTGTGTGTCTGTGTCTCTGTCTGCAGGATCACAATGTGTGTCTCTGTGTGTCTGTGTGTTTGTGTCTCTGTGTGTCTGTGTCTCTGTCTGCAGGATCACAATGTGTGTCTCTGTGTGTCTGTGTGTCTGTGTGTCTCTGTGTCTGTGTCTCTGTGTCTGTGTCTCTGTGTCTCTGTGTGTGTCTGTGTCTCTGTGTGTCTGTGTCTCTGTGTGTCTCTGTGTGTCTCTGTGTGTGTGTCTGTGTCTCTGTGTGTGTGTCTGTGTGTCTCTGTATCTGTGTGTCTCTGTGCCTGCAGGATCACAACGTGTGTCTCTGTGTGTCTCTGTGTGTCTCTGTGTGTCTCTGTGTGTGTGTCTGTGTCTGTGTCTCTGTGTGTATCTGTGTGTCTCTGTGTCTGCAGGATCACAACGTGTGTCTCTGTGTGTCTGTGTCTCTGTGTTTGTGTGTCTCTGTGTGTCTCTGTGTCTCTGTTTGTCTCTGTCTGTAGGATCACAATGTGTGTCTCTGTGTGTGTGTCTCTGTGTGTCTCTGTGTGTCTGTGTCTCTGTGTGTCTCTGTCTGCAGGATCACAACGTGTGTCTCTCTGTGTGTGTGTCTGTGTCTCTGTGTGTGTCTGTGTGTGTCTCTGTGTCTGTAGGATCACAATATGTGTATCTGTGTGTCTCTGTGTGTCTGTGTCTCTGTGTCTCTGTGTGTCTCTGTGTCTGTAGGATCACAACGTGTGTCTCTCTGTGTGTGTGTCTGTGTCTCTGTGTGTGTCTGTGTGTGTCTCTGTGTCTGTAGGATCACAATATGTGTATCTGTGTGTCTCTGTGTGTCTGTGTCTCTGTGTCTCTGTGTGTCTCTGTGTCTGTAGGATCACAATGTGTGTCTCTGTGTGTCTGTGTGTGTCTCTGTGTCTGTAGGATCACAATATGTGTATCTGTGTGTCTCTGTGTGTCTCTGTGTCTGTAGGATCACAATGTGTGTCTCTGTGTGTCTCTGTGTCTGTAGGATCACAATGTGTGTCTCTGTGTCTCTGTGTATATGTGTCTCTGTGTGTCTCTGTGTCCGTAGGATCACAACGTGTGTCTCTGTGTGTCTCTGTGTGTCTGTATGATCACAATGTGTGTCTCTGTGTCTGTAGGATCACAATGTGTGTCTCTGTGTGTCTCTGTGTGTCTGTGTCTCTGTGTGTCTGTGTCTGTAGGATCACAACGTGTGTCTCTGTGTGTCTCTGTGTGTCTGCAGGATCACAATGTGTGTCTCTGTGTCTTTGTGTGTGTCTGTGTCTCTGTGTGTCTCATGTGTGTCTTTGTGTCTCTGTGTGTCTCTGTGTCTGTAGGATCACAACGTGTGTCTCTGTCTTTGTGTGTGTCTGTGTCTCTGTGTGTCTCTGTGTCTGCAGGATCACAATGTGTGTCTCTGTGTCTCTGTGTGTCTCTGTGTGTCTGTCTCTGTGTCTGCAGAATTATAATGTGTGTGTCTGTGTGTGTGTGTCTGTGTGTGTGTGTCTGTGTGTGTGTCTGTGTGTGTGTCTGTGTGTGTGTCTGTGTGTGTGTCTGTGTGTGTCTGTGTGTGTGTGTCTGCGTGTGTGTGTCTGCATGTGTGTGTCTGTGTGTGTGTCTGTGTGGGACTGCAGGATCACAATGGGGGTGCTATCCCAGGGTTCAAGACTGAGGAGGGTGTGGAGCTGGATTTTCATAATTGCTTCTGTCTTGGTAAGACACCACAACAACAACCGCCATTAGCCACTAAGTGGCGGTGACGTCACCACGACGCTTGTGCCAGGCCATGTGCACCTTGAGGCCACGTGAAGTGTCTAACGCCCGCTGGCAGGAGGTCACGGGGCACACCCAGGTGCCACGGGTCGACTGACTGAGATGACTGGCTGATGCACCACCTGTGCCCCCTACTGTGCCAACCTGCTTTCCTTTAGCCACCCGGCGCTCCGCTCGTTGTTGTGAGCGTCGCTCCTCCGCCCTCCGTTGTTGTTGGAGGGCGACTGCCTCCAACTGCCCAGTAGCGTCCTTCACGAGCCTCCTCCACAGAGGCCGATCTTGACACCGCTGGTACCAGTCATCGGCAAGTCCACTCAGCTCCACGTCCTCCTGTACCACATCACTCCATCTCTTCTCTAGCCCGTGCCGCGTCCGTTTAGCCCCCCGATCCGGCTGAACAAAAGCTGTTTAGGCATGCTGTGGCTGGGCATGCGGGCTACATGACCCAGCCAACGCAGCCTTGCCTGCCGGAGGAGTTTACCGATCGGACTTTGCCCAGATCTTTCAAGGATTTGTGAGCTCCTCACACAATCCAGCCTGGTTAAACCAAAGATGGATCGTAGGCAGGCCAGCCTAAATGATTCTAACCGTCGAAGATGTTCCATTAGGGGGGTCCACGTTTCGCAAGTGTAGAGAGGGGAGGGAATGACTGTGGCCGAGAAGACCCGAAGCTTCGTGCGGAGCGACAGACCAGGTAGCTTCCACACAGCGTTACGCAACCAATGAAAAGATAATCCCGCTCGACTGATTCGGAGTGAGACCTCTGCTGTTAAACCGGAGCCGGTCATGAGCACACTGCCCAGGTATGGGAAACTCTCCACTCTCTCCACAACTGCCCCATCACCGATTGGGAGTTGTGAGGGTGGAGTGTCCGATGGTACAAAATACCCAGGCAGGTGCTTAGTTTTGGTGGGGCTGATGGTAAGGCCCCACGTCTTAGTGGCACACTTCAGGTTCAGCAGCAGCGCCTCCAACTCCTCCTCTGAGTGAACAGCAATTACCAAATCATCGGCATACATAACGTGGTTGCCAATAGGGAGCCATCCCTTGACCGCACCCGGGCATCGATCAGCCTCCCATTATATCTGTACCAGATGGAAATTCCTCCGGTACAGCTATTGAAGGCTTCACGAACTACGTGGTCGAAATAGATGTTAAATAATGTGGGAGCCAGAGGACATCCCTGTCGCACCCCAAGGTGCACAGGGAATGGCTCTGACTCCCGCCCACGTAGTTTTACCTGGGCTCGCTCACCATCATGAAGGTCCTTTATGATCGTCAGGTACTCCAAAAGCACGAAGAACAACCCAGAGCCCAGGCCTACTGATGGTATCATAGGCCTTGACCAGGTCAATAAAGCAGAGATGTAGGTCTTGTTGGAATTCCCTACACCTCTGCTGTAGCAAACGGACAGAAAATATGGAATCTGTGCAGGACCACCTTTTCCTGAAACCGCATTGGGGCTCTGCAAGCCTCTCCTCAGCGTGCCTGGCAAGACGATGTTGAATAATCCTTGCTAGTACCTTTCCCGGCACTCTGAGGAGTGAGATGCCCCTGTAGTTGTTACACTCTGTGCGGCCCCCCTTCTTAAAGAGGGGGACCACCACCAGGGCATCGTTCCAATCCTGCAGAACCCGTCCAGTGGCCCAGACTGTTATGATTTCATGTAGGGCAGTCTGTGCACAAACGCCACCCTCCCTCAGCATTTCGCTTTGGAGATCATCTCTGCCCTGTGCCTTTTCTGGTCTCAGACTCTGGATTGCCTTCAGTTCTTCCTCAACAGATGGCACCTCAGCCAGCCACTCACAAGGGGTAAATTCCTCCTCCAATATTTGAGGCATCGCAACCTCAGCAGGGTCATCCCCACTTTGTGCCACGATGTTTTCCAGGCTGAGGGATTCCCCCACCCCCAGGACCTCTGCAAACCTGTTCCTGGGGGTTGAAGATTGGATCACCGTTCTTTCCCCTAATGATGGTAATAGGTGAGGCACTGCAGGTCACTTTTTTGATGGAGTTAAATAGAGATTTGTGATCGCGGGCCATTGAGGCAGACTCCATCTCCTCAGCAACCCGCGACCACCATCCATCCTTGCAGCGCCTCATGGCTCTCCGAACCTCCGAGCGAAGGCTGCGGTAAGCCTCCTCATCCTCTGACGAAGGGTGCTGTAGACGATGAGAGTGGACCTGTCGCTTTTTCTCAACCATCCTGAACACCTCCTCTGTCAGCCAGGATCTCTGGGGAGGTCTGGACCTTGTACCCAAAACAGCCATTGCAGCTGCATGAGTCACAGTCCTAAACCTCGCCCATTTACCCTCGACATCAGGAAGAGTGGGGGACGATGCCAACCCCAGCCGCAAGCGATGATGAAATTCTCGCTTGCAACTTTCATCAGCTAACTGAGACCAGGCCACCTTACAGTGAGGGAAAAAGTATTTGATCCCCTGCTGATTTTGTACGTTTGCCCACTGACAATGATATGATCAGTCTATCATTTTAATGGTAGGTTTATTTGAACAGTGAGAGACAGAATAACAACAAAAAAATCCAGGTAAACGCATGTCAAAAATGTTATAAATTGATTTGCATTTTAATGAGGTAAATAAGTACTTGACCCCTCTGCAAAACATGACTTAGTACTTAGTGGCAAAACCCTTGTTGGCAATCACAGAGGTCAGACGTTTCTTGTAGTTGGCCACCAGGTTTGCACACATTTCAGGAGGGATTTTGTCCCACTCCTCTTTGCAGATCTTCTCCAAGTCATTAAGGTTTCGAGGCTGACGTTTGGCAACTCGAACCTTCAGCTCCCTCCATAGATCTTCTATGGGATTAAGGTCTGGAGACTGGCTAGGCCACTCCAGGACCTTAATGTGCTTCTTCTTGAGCCACTCCTTTGTTGCCTTGGCCCTGTGTTTTGGGTCATTGTCATGCTGGAATACCCATCCACGACCCATTTTCAATGCCCTGACTGAGGGAAGGAGGTTCTCACCCAAGATTTCACGGTACATGGCTCCGTCCATCGTCCCTTTGATGCGGTGAAGTTGTCATGTCCCTTAGCAGAAGAACACCCCCAAAGCATAATGTTTCCACCTCCATGTTTGACGGTGGGGATGGTGTTCATGGGGTCATAGGCAGCATTCCTCCTCCTCCAAACACGGCGAGTTGAGTTGATGCCAAAGAGCTCCATTTTGGTCTCATCTGACCACAACACTTTCACCCAGTTGTCCTCTGAATCATTCAGATGTTCATTGGCAAACTTCAGACGGGCATGTATATGTGCTTTCTTGAGCAGGGGGGACCTTGCGGGCGCTGCAGGATTTCAGTCCTTCACGGCGTAGTGTGTTACCAATTGTTTTCTTGGTGACTATGGTCCCAGCTGCCTTAAGATCATTGACAATATCCTCCCGTGTAGTTCTGGGCTGATTCCTCACCGTTCTCATGATCATAGCAACTCCACGAGATGAGATCTTGCATGGAGCCCCAGGCCGAGGGATATTGACAGTTCTTTGTGTTTCTTCCATTTGCGAATAATCGCACCAACTGTTGTCACCTTCTCACCAAGCTGCTTAGCAATGGTCTTGTAGCCCATTCCAGCCTTGTGTAGGTCTACAATCCTGTCCCTGATATCCTTGGAGTGCTCTTCGGTTTTGGCCATGGTGGAGAGTTTGGAATCTGATTGATTGCTTCTGTGGACAGGTGTCTTTTATACAGGTAACAAGCTGAGATTAGCAGCACTCCCTTTAAGAGTGTGCTCCTAATCTCAGCTCGTTACCTGTATAAAAGACACCTGGGAGCCAGAAATCATTCTGATTGAGAGGGTGTCAAATACTTATTTCCCTCATTAAATGCAAATGAATTTATAACATTTTGGACATGCGGTTTTCTGGATTTTTTTGTTGTTATTTTGTGTCTCAATGTTCAAATAAACCTACCATTAAATTTATAGACTGATCATTTCTTTGTCAGTGGGCAAACGTACAAAATCAGCAGGGGATCAAATATTTTTTCCCTCACTGTCGGTTGGAATGGGGCCCTGGGTGTACACCCACCACTGGAGTGGAAGAATGGCAGGCGCATCTTACAGATGAGTAGTCGATGGTCAGAGGGCAGATCAGCTCCACGGTAGGTCCTGGTGTCAAGGACATGGGCTCGCATCCGCTGGTCCGTCACTATGTGGTCCAGCAGATGTTCTTGCTTGGACCCAGCATGCATCCATGATCTTGTGTGGATGCGCCGATGCCGGAACAGCGTGTTGGTAATTACAAGCCCATGGGCTGCACAAAAATCTAGCAGCCTCCTACCGTTGTTATTGAGCTGATCTGGCCCATGCCCTCCAATCACTCCAGACCAGGTGCCAGCATCATGACCAACTCGGGCATTGAAGTCACCCAACAAGATGACTCTATCCCGAGGGGCCACTTTAGCCAGCACCTGTGACAGGAGGTCATAGAAGGCATCTGACTCATCGGCCTTGCCTGCATCCCTCCACAGACACACACAGACACACACACACGTGCACTAACGCTCTCCCCATGTCTCCCACTCCCTGTGTCTCCCCCCCCCGTGTCTCCCACCCCCCCCATGTCTCCCACCCCCCCCCCGTGTCTCCCACCCCCCCCCATGTCTCCCACCCCCCCCCCGTGTCTCCCACCCCCCCCCCCCCCCGTGTCTCCCACCCCCCCCCCCCCCCGCGTGTCTCCCAGGTCCGTGTTGCTGTGTGCCGTGAGTGTTCCGAGTCGGAGTTCCGGAATCTGCAGGGAGTCTGCACGGAGTGCATGAAGTGTGCTCCAGGCACTGAGCTATCGCAGGTTATACACACACAGTGACACACACACAGTGACACACACAGTGACACACACAGTGACACTCACACACAGTGACACACACACACACACAGTAACACACACACAGTGACACACACACAGTGACACACACACACAGTGACACACACACAGTGACACACACACACAGTGACACACACAGTGACACACACACAGTAACACACACACAGTAACACACACACAGTAACACACACACAGTGACACACACACACAGTGACACACACACAGTGACACACACACAGTGACACACACACAGTGACACACACAGTGACACACACACAGTGACACACACACAGTGACACACAGTGACACACACACACACACAGTGACACACACACAGTGACACACACACAGTGACACACACACAGTGACACACACACAGTGACACACACACAGTGACACACACACACAGTGACACACACACACAGTGACACACACACACAGTGACACACACACAGTGACACACACACAGTGATACACACACAGTGATACAAAGACACAGTGACACTCACACACAGTGATACACACACAGTGATACACACACAGTGATACAAAGACACAAAGATCCCCCGTATAGCCTTAACAGACTGTAGGGGCAAGTGCTGTTAGCGAGCACCTATGAAGGCCGGAACGGTACACGAGGGGGTGGGTGGCCAGCACCACGCCCGACCGCCTTTGTCTCCCTAGTGGCAATGTTTACACACCGCACCAGGTACTCATTTGAGGCTGAGTCGACCTAGGGGAGGCCCGGGACCGGTTCAGATAATCGTCACTGGTGTTGGCCGTGAGCGGGAATCGAACCCGGGTCGCCAGGTTCATAGCGCAGCGTGCCAACCGCTACACTATCGCTCCCCACTACACAGTGATACACACACAGTGACACACACACACAGTGATACACACACACAGTGAGACACACACAGTGAGACACACACAGTGACACACACAGTGACACACACACAGTGACACACACACAGTGACACACACACAGTGACACACACACAGTGATACACACACAGTGATACACACAGTGACACACACAGTGATACACACACACAGTGATACACACACAGTGACACACACAGTGACACTCACACACACAGTGACACACACAGTGGCACACACACACAGTGACACACACACAGTGATACACACACAGTGACACTCACACAATGGCACACACACACACAGTGACACACACACAGTAACACACAGTGATACACACACACACAGTGACACACACACACAGTAACACACACACAGTGACACACACAGAGTAACACACACACAGTGACACACACACAGTGATACACACACAGTGACACACACGCACACACACAGTGACACACACACAGTGATACACACACAGTGACACACACGCACACACACAGTGACACACACACAGTGACACTCACACAGTGACACTCACACAATGGCACACACAGTGACACTCACACACACACACAGTGACACTCACACAGTGACACACACGCACACACACAGTGACACACACACAGTGACACTCACACAGTGGCACACACAGTGACACTCACACAGTGACACTCACACAGTGGCACACACAGTGACACTCACACACACAGTGGCACACACACAGTGACACACACACAGTGACACACACACAGTGGCACACACAGTGATACACACACACAGTGATACACACACACAGTGATACACACAGTGACACACACACACAGTGATACACACACAGTAACACACACAGTGACACACACAGTGACACACACACACAGTGATACACACACACAGTGACACACACACAGTGACACACACACAGTGATACACACACAGTGATACACACACAGTGACACACACAGTGACACACACGCACACACACAGTGACACACACACACACAGTGATACACACACACACACAGTGATACACACACACACACAGTGATACACACACAGTGACACACACACAGTGATACACACACAGTGACACACACACACACAGTGACACACACACAGTGACACACACACACACAGTGACACACACAGTGACACTCACACACACAGTGACACACACAGTGACACACACACAGTGACACACACACAGTGATACACACACACAGTGACACACACACACACACACAGTGACACACACACAGTGATACACACACAGTGACACACACACAGTGATACACACACACAGTGACACACACACACACACAGTGACACACACACAGTGATACACACACAGTGATACACACACACAGTGACACACACAGTGACACTCACACACAGTGATACACACACAGTGACAGACACACACAGTGACACTCACACACACACACAGTAACACACACAGTGATACACACACAGTGATGCACACACACAGTGACACACACACAGTGATACACACAGTGACACACACACACAGTGGCACACACACAGTGATACACACACAGTGACACACACACACACAGTGATACACACAGTGACACACACACACAGTGATACACACACAGTGATACACACACACAGTGATACACACACACACAGTGGCACACACACAGTGACACACACACAGTGACACTCACACACAGTGATACACACACAGTGACAGACACACACAGTGACACTCACACACACACACAGTAACACACACAGTGATACACACACAGTGATACACACACACAGTGACACACACACAGTGATACACACAGTGACACACACACACAGTGACACACACACACACACAGTGACACACACACAGTGATACACACACAGTGATACACACACACAGTGATACACACACACACAGTGGCACACACACAGTGATACACACACAGTGACACACACACAGTGACACACACACAGTGACACACACACAGTGACACACACACAGTGATACACACAGAGATACACACACAGTGATACACACAGTAACACACACAGTGACACTCACACACACAGTGATACACACACAATGACACTCACACAGTGACACACACGCACACACACAGTGATACACGCAAAGTGGCACACACAGTGACACACACAGTGACACACACGCACACACACAGTAACACACACACAGTGATACACACACAGTGGCACACACACAGTGATACACACACAGTGACACACACACAGTAACACACACAGTGACACACACACACAGTGATACACGCACAGTGGCACACACACAGTAACACACACAGTGACACACACACACACACAGTGATACACACACAGTGGCACACACACAGTGATACACACACAGTGACACACACACAGTAACACACACAGTGACACACACACACACAGTGATACACGCACAGTGGCACACACACAGTAACACACACAGTGGCACACACACAGTAACACACACAGTGACACTCACACACACAGTGGCACACACACAGTGGCACACACAGTAACACACACAGTGACACTCACACACACAGTAACACACACAGTGATACACACAGTGGCACACACAGTGGCACACACAGTGGCACACACACAGTAACACACACAGTGACACTCACACACACAGTGGCACACACACAGTGGCACACACACAGGGACACACACGCACATACACAGTGACACACACACAGTGATACAAAGATAAAGACAAAGATCCCCCATATAGCCTTAACAGACTGTAGGGGCAAGTGCTGTAAGCGAGCACCTATGAAGGCCGGAACGGTACACGAGGGGGTGGGTGGCCAGCACCACGCCCGACCGCCTTTGTCTCCCTAGTGACGATGTTACACACCGCACCAGGTACTCATTTGAGGCTGAGTCGACCTAGGGGAGGCCCGGGACCAGTTCAGATAATTGTCACTGGTGTTGGCCGTGAGCGGGAATCGAACCCGGGTCGCCAGGTTCATAGCGCAGCGCGCTAACCGCTACACTATCACACACAGTGACACAACAACAACAACAACAACAACCGCCATTCGCCACTAAGTGGGGGTGACGTCACCACGACGCTTGTGCCAGGCTATGTGCACCGTGAGGCCACGTGAAGTGTCGAACGCCCGCTGGCAGGAGGTCACTGGGCAGACCCAGGTGCCACGGGTCGACTGACTGAGATGACTGGCTGATGCACCACCTGTGGCCCCTACTGTGCCAACCTGCTGTGCTTTAGCCACCCGGCGCTCCGCTCGTTGTTCTGAGCGTCGCTCCTCCGCCCTCCGTTGTTGTTGGAGGGCGACTGCCTCCGACTGCCCAGTAGCATCCTTCACGAGCCTCCTCCACAGAGGCCGATCTTGACACCGCTGGTACCAGTCATCGGCAAGTCCACTCAGCTCCACGTCCTCCTGTACCACATCACTCCATCTCTTCTCTAGCCCGTGCCGCGCCCGCTTAGCCCCCTCAATCCAGCCAAACAAAAGCTGTTTCGGCATGCGGTGGCTGGGCATGCGGGCTACATGACCCAGCCATCGCAGCCTTGCCTGCCGGAGGAGCTCACCGATGGGACCCTGCCCAGATCTTTCAAGGATTTGTGAGCTCCTCACACAATCCAGTCCGGTTAAACCCAGGATGGATCGTAGGCAGGCCAGCCTAAATGTTTCTAACCGGCGAAGATGTTCCATTAGGGGGGTCCACGTTTCGCAAGCGTAGAGAAGGGAGGGAATGACCGTGGCCGAGAAGACCTGAAGCTTAGTGCGGAGCGACAGACCAGGTAGCTTCCACACAGCGTTACGCAACCGATGAAAAGATATTGCCGCTCGACTGATTTGGAGTGAGACCTCTGCTGTTAAACTGGAGCCAGTCATAAGCACACTGCCCAGGTATGGGAAACTCTCCACTCTCTCCACAACTGCCCCATCACCGATTGGGAGTTGTGGGGGTGGAGTGTCCGATGGTACAAAATACCCAGGCAGGTGCTTAGTTTTGGTGGGGCTGATGGTAAGGCCCCACCTCTTAGTGGCACGCTCCAGTCTCAGCAGCAGCGTCTCCAACTCCTCCTC